GGGGAGAAAAAAAAAAAAAGATGTATCATGGATGTTATTTACTGCGTGTGCAGGAAGGGGGTATGTACGAGTGTGACAGACTTGGGGAGGGAAAACCATCCTATCGTTCCTCGTCCCGAAGACGACTCCCAGCCGCTTTCCCGGTTGATTGATAGGAAAAGGAGGCAGTGCCCACCCGGGAGGCTGTGCTGGAGGGGTGAGACCCCTTGTCCCCGGCACACGGTGGGGCAGGAGGTGAGGGGGGCTCGGGGGTCACCCCGCGTCTGTCGGCAGCCGCCAAAAAGTGTTCCCGTTGCCTTGAGCGGTGCCGGTGCGGAGGGAGAGGCGGCTGCTCCCTGCTTTTCCTGCTAGTGACCTCATGAGGAGTGGGAGGGCCAGTCAAGAAGAGGAAGAAGAGTTCAAGAATTACCTTCCCCTTTCCTTTCCCTCCGCTTACCAGCGGGGAAATCCTGTTGAACATCAGTAGGACGTTTTCTTGTGTCTGCACGGTGAAGCTGGGCTTTTCCCAAATCCTGTGTGCCCACACCTGTGTGCTGCAGCTCTCACTTTTTTTATTGTGTGGCCACGTTTGACTAAAACGTTTTCCAAATGATTCATCCCAAGGCAAGTGCCCACAGTCCCAGTCCTTTCTTTCTGAGGGAGAGGTACTGTCCCCTGCCACTCAAATACTGGACCTTGATAAATTTAGAAAACTCTGCCCTTGGCAGACAGAGAAGTATTGTGTCATTCCAGTGATCTTCGCATTCTAGGAAAGCCTAAATCAACAGTGTTTGTTTTGCATGTTACCATTTAGCAACAGTCACTGAATTTCCAGTCGAAAGTATTACCTGCCCCCACCCCCAAAAAAAAAATAAAATAAATTGGGTGAAGAAACCCTTTGACACTTGGTATCCGCAGTACGTGAACTGCAGCAGTTGTCAACTGTGTGAAGTCTTTATTCTGTGCTTCTGAGCCAAGAAAAACTGACTTTTTACCGAGGCACGGTTTGGGTGGGTTTGTTTTTTAATTAATTGTGTGCTTCCGGCTTTTTGATCTTTTGGTGCTGACGTTGTTAGCTTCCAATGACTTAAGAGAGGAAAAAAAACCCCAAACGTTGCTGCTCGTGGGACTGATAGCAAAAACAGAGCAAAGCACTGACTTACGGATTTTCCTGAAAATCTTGGTGGTCTTAACAATGAGTGAATGGTGCTTAACAGCAAAGAGAAATTAAATTACAGGTGTATTGTTGCCTTTTACTCTTTCCTTGCCCTTAAGGGAATTTAGTTACTCCTACTGAGAGGATCACAGAACCCCAGCACCTGTGTGGTGGTGTGATGTGCCCACTGGTAACTTGTGACAAACAGTGGGACCCCAGCACCAGCCTCCGCCGGACGCCGGTGCACTTACAGCTCCTGTAGTCTGAGATGGTTTTTTATGTGACAGATCCTAGAGTGATGAAGCAGCCTTGGGTTTCCTGTAGTTCCACTGCAGATCGTTTTGGATTTTATCTGTAAGTGGCATTTTTCTAGCTCAGCTTCATAGTCAGGTTGTGTTTGCGTAAGTGTGCTGCTGTTACACAGAAGGCCGAGGATGACTACAAGTGAAAGAGATGGGGTTTAGAGCTTGTTTTCCCTGACATTTTCTTTGTCATTTTATATTTTGCTCTCTTTCTTTCCTCATTGGCTTTTTGAAATGGAAATTTCATCTCTTTTCCCCAAATTTCATGTTTTGGTGCCCCAAAGTATTGCCATTTTTGGAAGGTGCTGAAACTGAGCAACTTGCACAGCTTCTATGCTTTTTCTACCAGCCTAGCAACCAAAGACCCTCCTCCCATTAACTGAAGTTGTCTTCCAAGATGAGGGCATCCCCTGTGAGCAATGCAGTTTCCATAGAAATACCAGCAACTGTGTAATGCCAGAGGGCAATTTCTTGCCTTGCATTGCTCATCCTTGCTGCTCCAGTGTAGCCAAAAGGGTGCAGGAGTGACTCATTTCTAAATATACTTAATATTTGTGGTATAGGCAGGACTTCAAATAAGATGATGGGCTCTGATGGAGTTCATTGTAATTGTATCTATTGCAGCAGCCAAGGCCCTCGTTTCATTTTTAACTACAGGGGGACATACCTTGTTTTAGGCTACTAGATCTCTTGTTGGATTTTTACCTGAATGGGAATATCCTAGAGAAGTTAATTTTATTCTAGTTGGAAATAAGTAAGTAATTGAAAATTACATTATGTCTAGGTTCAATAGGGGAAAAAGTGTTTTCCACTTGATTAGGTAGCTTTCATGCTATTCAGGTAATAAAAAAATAAGGATAGTTTACTAGACACAGTGTTCTGATTCCTCTCCCCCTGGACTCATTGGCGTTGCAGATGGCAATTAAAATAGAGTGAGTTTTGTTTGTGGTTTTGTTTAGGGTTGTTTTTTTCTTTCCCCAGTGAAATAGTTGTATTATCCAAAAGGTTTGTCTGTGGTGTTTATGCTGAAGAATTTGTTACCTGTGTAGGCTGCAGAGAGGGATCACAAAGGAGTTTATAAGCTTTGACCTCTAGCTGCTTGTACCAATTGATTGGCACTGCCCTCCCCCCCCCCAAAAAAAAAAACAAAACATATTTTATAGAACACAGTTTTCTTTACAAAACTTTGTGAAATAGACAAGATAAATGTCTTGCTCCAGATAAGTCCTTGTGTAATACTGAAGATTTTTCAGATTATTGCATTGCTGGCTAACATTCTGTGCACGACTGAAGTATTTTTGTCTCTTTTTCTTTGTTTTTTTAGCTGAACTGGAGTTCGTTCAAATCATCATCATCGTTGTGGTTATAACTGTTATGGTGGTAGTGATCATCTGCTTGTTGAACCGTTACAAGCTCTCGACACGCTCCTTTATCAACCGACAGAGCCAAAGCAGAAGACAGGAGGAAACTCTGCAGACGGTGAGTGTGAGCCCCTGGCACCAAATTGCAAGGGTGGGCAGCAAAGCCTTCTGAGGAGCTCTGGTACAGGCCACTGTTGGAAAAACTTCTGATGTCACTTTTAATACTCCCTGTAGCTAGGCCTTTTGCTGAGGTTGTATTTGTCAATAGAAAGAAAATAATAAATCAGAACATACACAGTTTTCATTGTTTTTAGACGTTGCTATGTTTTGTGTAGTCTAACTTCATTTTGCATTTGGAGGCTCAGATACGATGTGCTGTTTGCTGCTGCTGTAATTTGAAATGCAATGGAAGGGGAATGAATGGAGATCGCCTAGGGTACAAAGATTTGAAATGCATTGTTGTGGCTTTCTGTATGTTTGCTAATATCCTGGAATTTTGTTACTGTTTTGTGAAACTGCAGTAATGGTTTGCTGGAGTCAACAACACCCACTAAGGGCCCAGGAACATGTAATGTTTCTTTCACTCAAAGAGCAAGAAAATATTAGCAAAATGGCCCTTCAAGGACCTGGAGTAGTTAAGATGAGTTGTTACAGAGACAAAGGCTAAAGTCTGAATCTCACTTGAGAATTGTTAAGGCTGTCTTTAGGCAGCTCAACAGTAAATGGGCACCTAACTCGCTTTATGAACCAGGGTTTTGCTGGGTGGAGATGCAGTGCTCCCCTGTGAGGGTTAACCACAGAATGTCCCTGACCTTGAGGCATCTATCCATGCCACATGTGTTGTTGCAGTGAGGTCCTTTTTCTGATGTGCTTTTCAATGTCCTTGGAGTAGTTCTCTTGGCCTCCTTGCTGACTGTGGTGGCCAGGAGACCATTTGCAATGGTAGCCTTTTGATGCATTGAATTCCTGGCAACAGTGCTGGGTTCTCAGTTTCACTTTGTTTTGCTGTCAAAAAACGGTCAGATTGTACCTGGAAGGTGCAGTCCCGTAATGGTTTACACCAGTCATAAGTCCACCATCTTGCCTCTCATTCCATGCTGGTCCTGTTTCCTCCTTCTTTGCCCTCTTTAGGGAGCTGCCAGGGTTGTGGTGAGAGGCCTCAGGGGGCTGAACACGAATTGGTTTGGTTTTTTCCACAGTTAGATTCCAGCCAGATCAGCGAGCAAAGTGCTTGGGCAGGGGTGGAGTGCTGGCAGGCCAGGGGGCAGGGGTGCTGTGGCCAGGCTGGACCTGGACCTGAGTGGCTGCTGTGGAGCTGCACCCCTGGCAGCTCCCTCCTGAAAGCCAGATGTAAAACATGAGGAGTGCAGGGTTCCCCAAAGCTCTGGCTTAGCACTTCACCTGCACCCTTTTGCTGGGGTGAGTAGTTCTTACCTTGAAGGCTGTGTGGGGAGGAGAGGAGCTGTCTCTTCAAGGGAAGGTTGCCTCGTTCCCTAGCACCTCAGTAGTGCAGGAGTATCTAACTAATTTGGTTACAGATGAAACAAGAACTTGTCAAGCCTCAACCTTGTGGACTTAAAAGCTGGAAGGATGTGCTTGATTAATTGGAGTGTTGCTTTGAAATGGATGCTACAATTCAAAAACCACACTTCTGTCCAAAGAATGTTAGCTATAATTGCTACAAGTACTTAAAAGGAAATAATTTGAGATAAAGGAAGTGCATTTTCATCTTCACAAATCTTCTAAAGCTGTACTAGGCTGTCAAATGCTTGAAGTAACCCATTATTTCCTTTGTATGGTTCATTAGTATTGTCTGTTACCAGAGCAAGTGGTGCCTTTCCTCTTAGAGATGAGGGAGGAAACATCACCTTCTTCTGAAGAAGAACACGTAATTTGACAGTGAGGACTTGGGAGCTACTACTCTTTTAGTACTTAGAACTGTTCTATTTAAAAAAAAAAAAAGAACACTGACTCAGTTCCAGTTTGATGGTGCCATTATAATAATGATAATCATAGCCAAGTGAGCACTTTATGGGAATTGATGATGGGCTGGCAAGAACCAGTTACTAACTCTACCAAAAACTCCCCGGTATAGCTTTGTCATCACTATTACTCATCTGGATTTCTGATAAGCTGAAGCTGTTTTAAAAGAAGGTCATACTTGTGGGGAAGGAGACTTTGAAGGTCTCTGAGGTCAGATATAAAATAAGTATTAATTTTACTTTGTCTGAAGTGCTAGAAGGAAGTTCTGCTAGAAACTAGTTGTGTGTAGTGCAAACCTTAAAGGCAGTGTGCAGTGCAGGAGAGTTGTGAAACCAAATCATTTGCTGTGTGATGCGAGACTGGAAATGACCAGTCTATTCTTGTTGTCCATTGCAGAGTGAGCTGCACAAGGTAAATAAATAGTGTGAGCAGTAAGGTGAAGGTTAGATTGTACACTTGGAAAAATAGATCTGTTTTTTTAACCAGTCAGGCCTTGTTCTGTGTGCAAATGCTGTTGATAAATAGAACATTCCCTTGGAAGAAAATCCACTTTAATGGTATATAGATTCTAAACACGTATTTAAATGTTTATTAACTGCTAATGTCTGAATAAAATACCATTCTGACTCAGGCCTTCTGTTGGTGGAGAAAGAGTGAATGGAAAAAGGGGAAGTTCAGCTGTATGTTTTAAAAGAAAAATAAAGCAAATTAATTGTCTGTTGGCTAGTTCCTGAAGTGAACTTCCCTTTTTGTAACTGAGGTAGCAGAAGTGTATAAAGATGCAGAATCATGCCTTTGCTATTCAGGTGGACCTTCTTTTTTTGTCCTTTTCTCATCTTCAAGTTTGCTTTTCTTCAAGCCTATCCTATTTCTAGATCATCGTGCCTTCCAACAGCTGAACTATGGCTGAATTGCACAGGTTTCTGACCTCATACAGGCCAGCTATGGCACAAATGATCTTACTCTGATTCTTCTAGAAAGCACAATAGAAATCAACAGATATATTATCTGCTGCCTTTACTGCCAGCCACACACATTGAAAACTCATGGGGTCAGGTGTCCAAAATCATGAAAAAGGTGTTTTGGAGTTTCTTTGTCTGGCTGAACCTTCTTCGTGTTAAAGTAAAAAAACCTTCAAGTTGAAATTCTCTCTTTAGTAAAAAGAGGATGAAATATCACTGGAATCACAAGTGTTAGTAACACTCACAGGGCAGAAAAGGGACCAAACTTTAGGGGGGAGGGGGAAAAAAAGTTGCTCTTTGACAAGTACATGCTGAAAAGTGGCAGTTACATTCCTGTTCTGTAAATACATTTTCCTATGTGAACACCAGTTCATGTTTATCTTTTTTCTTTCTGTTTTTTTTGTTTTGTTGTTGTAGTCATTTTCCTTCCCCTTTTTATCCCTTCTGGATGTCTCGTCTTTCTTTCCCCTGCTCTGTTTCTTTGTTTTATTACCCCGCTTAGTGTGCTGAGACACTAAGCACTTCACAGAGGGGCAGGATAACATTTGAGTGCTCAAGAGTCCTGGATGTTCAAGCAGCAGTGCTGTTGAGGATGCTGCATGCCCTCCCATGGCAAGCCCTGCCTTCTCCTAGTGTGAATATTAAAACCTTCAAAGCCAGTTTTAACATTAGCAATTACAGGAGGTTTTGGGGTCATGACTGCAAGAGATGGAACAGTGCTGAGTGACAGCTGTGTTGGCCTGAGCAGCACTCTGAAGTGAGTGTGCAAGGAGCTGAACAGTGTCTGTATCATGATGGATAAAATATTGAACGTGTGCCCCCACTAGCTGATCCATCAGCAGCATTTGGCTTCACAGCTGGGAGCAAGGCAAGGTTTGCAGAGCATCTGAGGGGGTTGTAAAGTCTGTAAGGTGTGGAGTACACCAGGAACATGCTAAGGGCTGCTTCACTAGGACGATGCAAGCTTTCCCGTGGGAGCAACTGATGCTACTGGCAATGCTGGGTGTGTTTTGAGACAGGGCTGTGTGGCAGTCTTGGAAAGGCACAGCCATGCCCAGGGAATGTGCATCTGACACCCGAGGGAGGTGCATGTTGCAGTGTTGCTGGTTGTCCCTTGGGAGGAGTGATGTTTCAGTGGGAGGGTGGTGTTGCTGGTAACTGTAATCATCCTGCTGGAATGCAGGTAGCCCTGGCCAAGCAGCTCCTGGGTGCTCTCCTGTTTGCTGGAACAAAACCAAGATAAATTGTGCTCTCCAATGATTAACTCTTGGTGTCATCACCAGTGATTTCCAGGGGTATGTTGAGGGAAAAGAGGTTAAATGACTTACAGGGAGGTGCTTAAAAAGCTTCTGATGTTCCTAACTTGATTCCTTCTTTGTGTCCTAGTGGCTTCTGTCTTTGTGTGTTTTTCTCTTTGTAAAATGGATGTTGAAGGAGAACCGAACATTTTTCCTACCCTGTGCCTGCTCCTGGCAGCAAAATCCCTGTGTCCATCACGCAAGATGGGTGAGCATCCTGACCAGCCTCTGCCTCCCAGCATCGAGGGCCACATCACTGCTAGGGCTAGTCAGCTTGCATTAGGACCTGCACTGATAATGCCCATCTCAAATGCCACATTCCAGGAGCATGGCTGTAAAAATACTGCCCTCCTTCTTGAACAACTATTTCAGAATAAAAGGGGAACATCAGGAGGGTGACAGAAAATACTAAAAAATATTGACAACTCCAGGGGTTTGTCGGTGATTTCAAATGTTAGTTTTGCCTCTTGGCCTTTTTAAGTTATTCCTCATTGGTGCTGGCATTATTCTTTCTGTTCCCTCCTGGCACCCCTGGCCCATTCATTCTCATTTTCTTACTGACATGTGCAAAAGGAAGAAAATCCCAGTGGGAACAAGAACCCAGCCTATATCTAGGAGAGAGCCTGAGAGCTGCAGACCACCCTGCTTTGCACCAGGACTAGCTGGCAGGAGCTGGATGTGCACTGTGTTCTCCTGCTCATGTGAGGGACACCAGCTTGCCTCTCTTCTTTCAGCATGTACTGCCAGGAGGGACAGCATGCACTAGCTGGGGCTCTTTGAAGTCTACCACAATGAAGTCAGAACATCTTTTAAAAGGGCAGGATAATCTAGGAAATCTGCAGGTAGGAATAAAAGTGAGGAGCACCAGCTTCGGT